ACATACAGTCAAAAAGCAGTACAGATGGCAAGTTGCATAATTTTTCCAAATACATTAGTCACTAAGCTTATATTTAAAAGGATGTCAGAAGTGTAGTGTACTATATTGGCCTGCAAAAGATAAAAGTGTATAAAAAACAAAACAACAACAACAACTAGAACATGTTCAAGCCCATCCTGGGCAACTTAGAAAAAGCTTGTCTTGAAATAAAAATAAAATTAAAACTTTAAAAAAAACTAACAGCAACAGTAGTTATGTCAAAGACATCAACATAGGACACTGAAAGAGTAGGTGAGGTGATGTATATTGTTTACAGTATAAGACTTTTTACCCCTGAAATGTGTTAACAGTCTAAAACTAGGCATCATGCTGCCATCACAGGCATTAGCACACGTTACTCCATGGTTTATAGTAAAAGCAAAATTCAAAAATAGGTTTTACATCAGTAATGTCTTATTAATGCCATTGTAAAATAATTTTTTCTTGTAAGACTACAAGTTCATGACTTAGCCAGCATTTTGCGACAGCTGAGCAATGCAGCTAACTACACTACACTACATGCTAGGAGTGTGCTGAGTGTCTCACATGGAGTATAAGTACAGTGAGATAAGTATTGTTTTATTACCAGTGTTTCACAGATGGCAATGCTGAGCCTGAGAGAGTAACTTACTACAGAGATCCATAGCTGGGTGGTTGAGCCCATGCACCTCCCACAATACTCAGGAAAGGTATTGGCTGGGTGAGAAGGCAAAAGAGGTCAGGGGAGCAGCATCAGTCAGATCCCTGAGGATAAAGTGGGGAAAAGGGAAAAGTACAGACAACATCCTTACCTTCAGCTGATTGATTATCTAGGCCAGAAACTTTTTTAAGAGATAAGAGTCTGGGCCATAGAAATCTATAAATAGGAGAAAAAGATTTTTCTAAGGGAAAAAAGAATTGGCATTTGAAGCTGACTGCAAAATTTGGAAATGGCAAAGCAAGAGTTTGTTAACATAAAGAGGTTGTGAGAAATTCACTTTCAAAAGACTTGGTGCAAGAGAAGGCAGACTGATCAGATGAACATGTAAAGCTGGTGAGGTTTGGGATGGATGTTCCTCTGCTGTTTATCTTGTTTATATCTGCCCTTGGGATTTTGTTAGACACTGCCTTCTTCATCTGGAAGCTAGCATCTGCTTGGGCTTTGCTTTTAAATTATGGCTTAGCATTCAACTCCTGAGCACTTGGTTATACTATTTAGGTATATATAGTCTGAAAGAGCTTTATCTTGATCTATAAACGTCTAACTCTGTAAAATACCCTTTATGAATCATCTTCAACAGGTGAGCACTTAATAAATACGTGTAAGTGTAGGTTCTGTGGTCTACCTCTGGGGCACAGCGTGTATTATTAACACACTCAAGTAGATCACAAGAGCACGTATGTTACCGGTGTGTGCCTGAGTACATACTGTAACTGACCAAGAATATTTTTATACTGCCAGGGAAAGTACTACATTTGCCTTATTGTTGCAGGCTTATCTTTTCCCCAAAACACATCAAGCCTGGAAGCAACTAAGAATTGTAAAGCATGGGTGAGAGATGTAGCTCAGGGGTAGAGCATGTACCTGCATGTAATGCCCTGGGTTCAGTCCCCATTGGCAGCAACAATAGCAAAAGAACTGTAGAGCATGCTTCAAATTCCAATATATATAGTTTAGTCCTCAGCCTGATGAAACTATAACTTATTTTAACTAAAGTGCTTCCTATCCTTGTTGTTCCTTTTCTGTTTTTCTCGTTACTAAGCCATCTTGTATTATGTGAAATCTATTCAAATACTTAACAGTTTTATAAAAACATCAAAGGATTGTTAAAATTTGCTTTGTTTTGGATGTATACAAATTAGACTGATTTGCTTTCAGAGTGAAAGGTCAAAACTTGCAAAGAACTAGAATCAATGATTATGATATTTGGAATATATAAAACTTCAGGAAACAAGTCACAAACATTTTAGCAAAATTAATTTTTGAATATATAGGTGTTTTTGAGACAGACTCTCTGTTTTTCAGGCTGGCCTTAAATTTACTTTGTAGTCCAGGCTGGCCTCAAACTCATGGCTCCTCCTGTCTCAGCCTTCTGAGTGAGGATTCTCTGTCTGTCTGTCTCTCTCTCTCTCTCTCTCTCTCTCTCTCTCTCCTCTCTCTCTCTCCCCCTCTCTGTGTGTGTATATATATATATTTGGGGGGGTAGCGGGGATTGAGAGGATTCTGTTTTGTCATTGAAAACTAAGACTTTTTGAAGTAAACGTATAATGAGGCGGTGTAGAACTTTATCTCTGTTGTTGATGATTTGCCCTTTCTTTGGTGGGAGACAAAAAAAAAGTGATCCCAGGAACCCCTTGTATGCCCAGTAGATGCCTTTAACCTCTCATTGAGTCTGATTTGGAGTCATGCACATGCTGTAAAACCATGTTGGAAGTGAAGCTTCCTAAAGAACCTTTTCCTGCATGGAATGCCAATTAACTGCCTGCTTTGAGGGGTAACTGGGCCTTTGCTCCTCAGGGGTGCTGTCATCACGCTCCGCAGTCCAGGGCTGTCATCCACTATTGAAGATTAGACAGCAGGGCAGTGCTCAACCAGACTTAAGAACATATCTTAATTTGGAAGAGCACAGCATACACCTTAATGGAAAGAATGACCACACCTTTGGCAGTGTTGAGACTGCTGAAAGAACATAATAACCAGCTCAGCTTACACTCAGAAAGCGTTCCCAACACGAAAAGAGATAAACTTGGTAGGAATCTGTAATAAAATAGAATTCCACTGTTGGCAGAGCATATGTATTTATACATTCTTCTGTGTTTAGCTCAATGGTTAGAGAACACTTCCTGGAAAGACTGCGGTACACAATGTTTTCAATTTGAGTTTGCACATTTCATCTAATTGGTCCTCAGGACAAGGTTCACTACTGTCCTGAAAGTGGCTTGGCTCAGTCTTTAAAACACACTAATGAATTTCAGGTTTGGGACAGTTTTAGAAAGGGGCTGCTCTGTATTGGACAATCATGTGAACTTGGAGTAGTTGTCCATGAATGTCTTCAGTAGCTAATGAATGTCACTCTGGACAGTGGAGTCTTCTGTCTCCAAAGAACTGATTGCCTGTGCCAAGAGTGCCTGATTCTTGCCTATGTTTAAATCTTGAGTTTGGCGGATTTCTTCATTTTAATAAAGGGAGTTTGTGAAAATAGGGAATAAATAGGACAAAGCCTGTCCAAGTGTAATTAGATGTATTGAAGAACACTTAACAATAACCCTTAGCTGGGGGAAGGTGCCTTAGCAGTAGAGCACATGCTTAGCATATAGAAAACCATGGGTTCCATCCCCAGCACCAAAAAGCGAGAGCTCTTAAATAACCTATAAGCTTTTTATGCAGACACCATTAGCAATAGTTGAGGGGTTTTATCTTCAGCACATATTCCACCCTTAAAGCCATGGGGTGCTAGCTGGGGCTGAATATAGAGCTCATTTTATGTAACTGGGAAGGAAGGAAGCTAATACATTCACAGACTCCCCATACTCAGGACTCCAAAGCCTGGGTCATGTATTACCGCCACATCCCCCACACCTTTGACAGTGCATGTAGACTTGGTTCTGAGTAAGTCACAATTTATTGGGCCAGTGAGAAAAAGAAAGTGTAGATTTCATGGGTTCTTTCACCAGTGGAAGTTTGACTAATTTCTTTATAGAGTGGGAGAATTTCAATTTCTGTGTGTAATGTGTTTGTCTCAGTTATGCCATTCATCACCTGTGAGGCTGTGCACCTGTTGTGCCAGCCTCCAGACTAGGCCTGTTTCCTCCCTAATTTAAGTAGGGTGGGCCAGAAAAGCTCCTAAGACTCTAGCTTTTACAGTTTGAAGTTGTATTCTTGTGCCCACAACAGTTAAGGCATTAGGGCCAGGGATTTAGCTTAGAGGTGCTGCTGCCTGCCTCTCAAGTGTAAACGCCTGAGTTCAATTCCTGGTTTAAAAAAAAAAAAAAAGTTAAGGCAACAATTGCATTGGTCAGGTAAAGGCTATCTGGGTTGTCCAGCTGACAGATTATCCTAACAGATGTGAACAAGTAGCAACACAAGTTCTGCAGGCAGTTTGTGTTGAGGTTGTTGAAACCGTCAGTCCTAAATGACAGGCAGGGGTTGTCAGACGACAGTGCCACGGGCATTGTTTCCCATCTGGGATCCTGAGTGACAGCATGCAGTCTGGCTCACGCTCCTGTTGTGCCTACCAACCCAGGTGTCCCAGCTTCACATCCTTTAGGGAGTTACCTCGTGGTTCATAAATTTCTGTGTGGTCATTTTAGAAATGAGGATAATAATTGTTTTTCAGGGTGAAAATCTCAAAAGATATGTGAACACATGTAGCAAACAGGTGAAACTTCATATATAGGTAACTAAAATAAAAACAGCTACTTATAAAAATCCATATAAGATAGCCTTATTAAAAACTTGAACAGCTGGGCATGGTGGCACATGCCTGTAATCCTAGCACTCGGGAGGCTGAGGCAGGAGGATCGCTGTGAGTTCGAGACCAACCTGGCGTACACAGTGAGCTCCAGGGCAGTCTGAACTATACAGTGAGACCCTGTCTCAAAAAACAAAACTGGGACAAGGGGAGAAACATTTGTGTCAAATGTTACAGAGCACTTTAGGACATATCTTTGAATCTTTACAACCTCATTTTACAGATGCAGAAAAGCTGGGAAGGTCCCAGGGTCACGACACCTGGCAGCAGTGGAGTTGAGACTCAGTCTTCTGATTCCTACTTGGGTTTATTTTACAATATACCACCAACACACCAATACACTTAGTGTCAACTTTAACTTAAGGTTAAAATTAAAATAGATTCTGTAAATGGAAATAAGTGATCAAAATGGAAACAGTACCTGCGGGGGAGGTCCTAGTACCCTTTTTATATGACTACATCTAAAATGGTGTTTAAGACAAACTCAGGAAACTCTGGCCAGAGTCACTCCTCATTTTGTTTGATGTTAGCCCTGCAACAGCTCCTGAGGATAGCTGGAAGATTTGAATATCTCTGGAATGTCACGGTCCAGTTTCGAAATAATTTTATAAATGGGTTTCTTCCAGGAAGGATCTGAGTCTTTTCCTGCGGAGACAGCCCTGAAGAACTCCTGTAACGTCAGTGTGGCGATTTCCAAGAAGCAGTCTGGAACCTGCATTCCCACAGAGACCCCCCAAAAAGAGGAGACGTGAGGTGGGAAGCACTGGCACCATGGAGACCCCACTGGCTGATGCTGTCTGTTCCTTGGTGGTGGCTAAAAGCATTCCTGTTCTACCAGCCCTGGATTTCTGCAGCCCAGGGAATCTCCTCCCTCGTCAAACACAAACCTTAAAATGGCAGTTATAATGAGATAGCTCTGGAACAAGGTGTATTTTGTGGGAGGAGCTAGTTCCACTAATGGGCAACTTTTAGGAAGTAGGAAGCTCTAATTGAAAGTAAATCTGTGCTCCACAGAAGTTTTAAGATTCTTTTCTGTATACCTTTTGCAGAAAAGAGTGTCCCCATACTCGTGACTGTTTGAACTTCAGCCCACCACTTCTTAGGGCTGAATCTTAAGGGCTTATATTCCTCAAACCCTGTTGAGTGGGGTTTTCCAGAACCCTTGCTGAAACTGGCACCGTAAGTGATGAGGTGTCCCACAGGTCCTCCGGGCCCAGCTTGGCCTGAGGCTTGCATCGTGGCCTGTCAAGTGAACACCCCCACGCGCGAAGAGCCAGCAGTGTCTGGGACCAGTGTAAGTTTATGTTTCCAGCCATTCTGGCTGAAAGTCCAGTCAGCAGACAATGTGTTTGGAAATGCCAATAAACTACTGATTGGTCACAGTCACTGAGAAAGGCAAGAAGAGGGAAATAAGTCTAACCAGACACCTAGAACCTGCAGGGTAAGATGCCAGCCTAATAGTCGTCAGCTGCCCAAGAGGCTATACATGTCTCATGATGAGAATTCACACCAGTAACACCTAGATGCACTTTAAGGTACAACCAGTATGCCTTCATGGAGATCCCCCAAGCTGGCCTCAAACTTGCTGTCCCACCTCGGCCTCCTGAGTAGCTAGAATTACAGGCATGTACCACGTGCATGTTTGTTATTTCCAGGAGGAATATGAAGTGGCTAACCACAAAAGGCCGACTGTACAGAGAACAGAAATTGTTAAAACTGGGTACTAAGGCAAAAGGTAAGTTACCTAACTTGAGAGTTACTAAACTGGCCTTAGGCCTGGTAGGCTGCGTTATAAACCAGCATGAAGATGATGTATTTGCTGCATCTATCTGTTGCCTGAAAAGATGCTGGGGCTATATTCTCTCCGGGTGATAATTGATACAGAGATTGGCCCCAGTGATTCTTGGGGGCTCTTTTCTGAAACACCAAACATAGAGAAGACACTGCAAAATAGCTCATGGAACCTTGGTATTTTGTCTTACCTCAAAGTCACTTCCCTTGTTATAGTGCGTATTGAGAGCTCGAAAAAGTTCTGAATCTCGGAGAACCACCAGCATTTTGGGATTTGTGACACCATCTGAAATTGCTTGCCGGGCAAATTTTTCCATTTGGATATAATAATACTCACGAAAGTTGCTGAACCATTTGATCATCTGGGAGGTAGTGCAGCGATTGAACTGCAAACAAGAGGTCCAAGGAGTCAGACATCTGTCATGGGGCGCTCAGAACTAGAACTGTTAGCATCCAGTTCAGCGTGGGGGAATGTTAATGAACTCACCCAAGGTAACAGGCTTCCTTTAGAAAAAGAAGCTGCACTGTTTTCCTATTCAGTTGCTCACAAAATACCTGAATTAGCTCCAATGCCCATTTAGAAATAATTTTATGTACTGGACTACTAAGTGTTGGACCTTTTTGTGTTGTCTAAGAATGACTTTGAGAAGATCTGCTAGGATCAGTGCCACTGTGGTGCTAGCATGGCCGCTCCGGAGCCTTCTCTCTGATAAGGGATCAGAGACTGGATCAGGAAGCAGTTTATCAACGACTTGGACAAGTCTAAATTACAGTTTTCTTCAGGGATCAACCAAGCAACAATCTGAGGGAAAGACCTGAAAAGCTTGAATGGAGCACATCTACTTTCTATGGCAACAGGCAAGGTTTGGCTCCAACAATCAGCTTGATTTTCCTTACTGTTACACTGATTTGTATGTACTTTCACTGTTTGGAGAAACAGTGACCTGAATGTGAGTTTAACAGTGTCTGACCGTACATAGTCTTTCTTCTTCATAAGGTCAGAATACATAAACGAGGCCAAAGAGTCCACTTACTGCTAATGTTTCTTTCCTTCTACCTTTCCTTCCTGTGTATTTCTAGGATTATCCACAGCTCAAAAGCCTCAAAATTCAGTTACCCAACCTTTTTAGCCCACAGCTATCCATGATTATTCTAGTACTCTCTCCCCAAAACTAGAACTTGCACGAGTCCATCAACAGCATGGAGAACTTGAAGCAAGGACCTTGGACTTGCCACACACCAGGCCAGGCATTGCCACTGGGAGCTGTTGCAGAGGTTGGACCTCAGTGAATGACTTTACCTGAACATCAGGGAAGTAAGCCTTCAGGAGGCTGGAGCTGGGGTACCGTGCGAAGAAAAACATGAGTTTGGCCTTCTTCAAGTGACCAGGGTTTAGGCCTTCCTGGATTTATTTCAGTGTCAAGGAAAGTTAACATTTTAAAACATTAGTTTATCCATTACTTGTATCAGATCATCCAAATAGTGTGTGTCCCGTTCCTTCTGGCTTTTCCTTCCTTTCCCTCCCTCCCATCCTCCCTCCATACCCCCCTCTCTTTTTCTGGTTGAATAGAGTATTTTCTTCATTTTTCTCTTTCTAAAACTTGTTATATAGGTAAGCTGGATGCCATCCAGAGTGAAGTTGCAGAATTTGAAAAATGCCTTGTGTAAAAGTGTATTGTGTGCCATGTATAGATACTGAATGCTGTTGTGCTATGTGTATTCACTCTTTCAGAATGGGATGGTAGAGAGGGCAGCTCTGTCCAGATAAACTATTGTGAAACCTCAAGTAAAGATGTATTTCCTCTCTGCCTCAATTTCTTCGCCTGGAAAACGAGAGGAGCTACCTAAAAGATCTCCTGTCTGGCTGTCATTCGAATTGGCTTTGCAGGTATAATCCAGGCTGCAAGTACCCAGGCCAAGTAGCAGCCCTTACTATGCTCTTGCTCAGTGAAGAAACTTGAACTATTGGCTGCATCTTCCTCTCACAGATCCCAGCTCAGAAGATCAGTTCTCTGTGGAACCTTTCCTCACCTAACTAGGCCCTCCGCACCCTGGGCTCCCACTGCTCTGTCATAGCAATGACCTTATGGAATTTTTACTGCATGTTTGTCTCCCCATTTAGATTGTGAGCTCTTTGAGGGCAAGGACCATGTCTACTTATCTTCGTGTTCTAGGTGCCTAGCGCTAGGCTAGGCACATAGTAGGTGCTCAATAAATGTGTGTTGGATGGAGTGAGTCAACCTTAATCCATACACATATATGGAAATTAGGCTCCAAAGCACACCTCACCCTGGGACAGATTTCTTTCTGTTTAACAAGATCAGGAATGCTGTGGTGTGACTCCCTAATACCACAGAGGAGGGAAGTAGAGATACACAGAATGTTTAACATTCCCGGGACACTCTGAGACTGAGGGAAAATAATCCTACAGAGTGATCTTTAGTATCAGGTTCAAGAGCTGCAGATTTAGGGCAATTAAGATTTACTAGTAGGATAAATCATTTTAACCAAAAGAAACCAAACCCACTATGGTTACAGCTGGCCTGGGCCAGCTATGTGGAAGACCCTTATCCCTGGCCCTATTGGCCCTACTTATCCTTCCTACAGGCTCTTTGATGCTGTGGGAAAGAGTGTAGGATTTGGGATCCTACAGAAACTGACTTGGCCACTTACTGCTTTGGGCAAGCCCCTTAACTTCTCTGGGCCGCCTTCCTAAAATAGAGTATAGTGGTCAAGGATTGTGCTTGGCCGTCCTGTCTTGAGTTTGAATCCTGTTCTGTCTAGTGATTTGGGGAAGTTAATTTGTTTCTTGTCTCTGCTTTTCAGATACCTGACACTAGAGGACTGTGAGATGATCCAGGTCCACAACCCTTTATCTGAAACACTGGGCCGAGTGGAGTTCAGATTTCAGAATTTCTGTTATTTTATAGGGCATGACATGCGTTCGCTGTATGTTAATACCCTGAGCCACAGAAGAGGCAGCCTGTAGTCCAGTATACCGACATTTCCTACAGCAAAATGTATGGCTTTATGCCAAGTGGGATAAAGTCTACAAATAGCCTCCAGGCTGTGTATGTCAGATTTTGCCACCAAAAAAGTTCGAGTCACTTTCAAGGGAAACAAAAACACAGCGCTTTTCAGAGCTTTGTGATCTTCAGAACTGTGGCTGAGGGGAGGCAGGCACACATGATCTCCCTGCCACAGGGAAGGTGCTCAGTGAATGCTGAGCTCGCTGAGACCTTCACACCTGCCCTGCCTTGTTCCAGGCAAGGTCTGTGACCGAACATTCCTTTTTGCAGTAAAGCAGCCTGCTCTTAAGTGGCTTGCGTGGTCCACAGGAGTCACTCCCAGGTATGGAACATAGGCAGCAGGGAGAAGGAAAAATGTCGGGGGTAAGACGCTGCCCGGGGCCTCCAAAGTCTTCCCTAGGTATCTGTGTACTTCACCTGTGCGAGATGCCTGGCTAGGTATTTCTTAGCATAAGCCCAAAACCTGATGCTCTCTGCACCTGTTTCACAGGGCAGTAACAGGCACGTGTCTGATAAGTAGCAGCAGTGCTGAGGGACCAGTCTTCTCAAGGTTCTTTCCCTGCTGCCTAGAAAAATTAATAGGGTCTTAGCCAGGGGTCTCTTGTCAAAGGCCCAGACAGGGAGCTTTTTTTTTTGTTTGTTTCACACTGAGAAATAAGTCTGTGCTAGTACCTCTCTACCTCCAAGACTTCCTACTGCCTGAAGAGGAAGTGGTGGCCAACGAAAGGGTTCTTGGTTTTACGGTTGCTTGCTCCTCCAGCAAAGCCTGAACTTTGGAGTGTTTCTAATACCAGCAGGGGGCGCTCGCGGCACTTAGGATGCAGGGTGGCCTGGTAGTGAGCCCGCCCCATTCCATCTCATCCTGCTGTTTCTAAGCGAAGGACAGAACTGTTCACACTTTGATATTAAATTCCACAGATACATTAACCTTTAGAGCCTGGCTCAAGGTGCATAAGAAGCAGTGACAGAGGCATAACTTCCTAAAATAGCGACATCTACCAGGCATAGTGGCACATACCTATATAATCCCAGCACTCAGGAGGCTGAGGCAGGAGGATTGCAATGAATTAGAGGCCAGTCTGGGCTACATAGTGAGATCGTGTTTCCAAAGTTGGGGTGAGGGAAAAGCAACATCCAAAATATGTTCTCAGGAACGTTAATGCTGTGAATGCTTGTTGGAAGAGGGATCTTTGGGGCTGCCTAGATTCTCCCAAAGCATCGCATCAGACATCAGCATGTTAAAGGCTCTGAGAGGCTCCACAGTAAAGAAAGTAACCCAGAATCTACTATTACAGTTTCTTCTAGCTGAACAACTGTTAATATATGTGATTACTCTTGGAAACACTGCCTGTTTCCCCTTTGCGGGAGGCAGGGTCCTCTCCTCCTGTGCCCACCCCAGACTCCATCCCAGCTTGAAAGCTGTTCCTTAAATTGAAGTCCTCTGACTTCTTCAGGACAGCTGCTTTCTATTTCTAGTCCCTAAGGAAAAGTACTCTTGCCCCAGAAGATTATCTAGATCATGCAGTCCTTTTGCCTGGGAGCCATGAGGGAAGGTTGGGGAAGCTATACCTCATACGAAGTCATTCCTTTGACCCTCTGCCTAGGGGGTATGGGCAGCTGACAATCAAATTATAGGGTTCTTCCTTCCACATGGTATTTATCATATTTTGGAGGCCCATTTGAGGTGTTTTTGTTTGTGTTTGTTTTTGAGGCAGGATCTTGCTATATAGTTCAAGTTGGCCTTGAATTAACTATGTAGCCCAGGCTGGCCTCAAACTTGTGGCAATCCTCCTGTCTCAGCACCCCATTTGAGTTTAAAAGCAAACAAACCAAAGTCCTTCAGACCCAAAGGAACAAGTCAGTCATGGCAGAATCTGATGGGTTACAGAAGAAAGTAAATTAACCTTCCCAGAGCCCCTAAATGCTAGAACGTGGTTTCCACTTGGTCAGTAAATAGGCTGTGAGCCATGAGAAAGCAAGGTCCAGGAGCAATAGTAAGAAGACCGCGAGAAGCCTGGTGTGGCGGCATGTACCTACACTCCTGGCCCTGGGAAGCTGAGGCAGGAAGATCACAGGTTTGAACCCAACCTGGGTGACTTAGCAAGACCCTGTCTTAAAATTTATGTATTCTTTTTTTTTTTTTTTCCAGTACTGGAAATCAAACTCAGGACCTTGCTCTTACCAGGCAGGCTCAGCACCGCTGAGCTAAGTCCCCGGTCGCGCTGTCTTAAATTTTAAAAGGGCTGGGGATGTAGCTCAATGTGAAGACCCTAGGATGAGACACAGACAGAGACAGAGACAAAGAGAGGAAGAGAAGGAGAGGGGAGGAGGGAAGGAGAGAGAGAGAGAAAAGAAAAAAGAGGAAGGCAGGGAAAAAGGGAGAGGGAGAATGAATGGAGAAAAAATGGCTGTGGGAACGCAATCCACTCCCTATGCAATATCGTTATTTGTCTTCACCTTCATCTCAACTTCCAATCCTCTCATTTCTCCAGGAAGTGACACAAGATTATCAATGACTAGTAAAGGATATGTGGACAGAAGAAAAAGGAAGTACATCCGGTACAGCCTGCAGGCTGCCCGGCTCCATCTTCACCAAGGGAAGGAGGGGCCGGCTCTCCAGACCAGCCTCAGTGAAAGGCTGGCTCAGAACCCAAGGGTGCAGGGCGGGCTCTGAGGCGGGGTGCCTCTGGGGAGCCAAGTCCTGGGGAGGACCACTGCTCCAGCGGCCAGTGGGTCCCTGACCCAGTAGCTGGCTAAGAGTCTGATTTTCCTGAATATGGGAATGCACCGTCCAAGGATAGTTTGCTGTGGGTCCGTGATAGGGTTTAGAGATGCTTCTTGGAGAGAGAGAGTACCTAGGAGAATCTAGAACCTTGGCCAATGATGAATTTCCCAAAGAGATCCCAGCTTGTGATTGGACCCTCCTAGAAAAGGCAGCCAGAACATGTGGGTCTTTCCAGGCACCTCCTCCTGGAGGAAGGGGTTCGCCTCTACTCTCTGGCACTAGTGCTTGGAAGCTCCTGCCTTGTTGGGTCAGGTGGCTGGGCGGATCCACCAGCACATTTTGTAATACTAAGTCCACAGCCTGGGACACTGCCCCAGTCAGTTCTTTCTTCAGCACCTCCAGAAAAGCCTGTGCCCCAGAAGGAAGGGACCTGAGCTCAGACGGATGTTGAACCTCAGACACCCTGTATTTTTCTGCCCCACCGAGGTCACTGTTGGCAGTCCGGGGGTGAGGTCTGCAGCCATTCCTGTGCTTTCCACTCTGAGGGTCTTTCCCTGGCTCCACGTATTCTGGCCCCTGAGCTGCATCCTGAGGCACAGCAGCCTGCAGGATGTGCTCTTGCAGACACTTTAGCTGTTGTTTCAGCTGGTGAAGTTGTTCTCTCACCCTGGTACCACCCTTCCTGTTGGTCCAGTTCTGGGCAGGGCCCGGCTGCAGGGGGACTTGCTGCACAGGGTGGCTCTGCTTCCTCTTCCGCTCCGGGACCTTCTCTAGGTAGCATGTGCTGGCCCCGGCTGGGGCACTGCCTGGCACCAGAGGGCTGGGGGAGAGACAGATGCCTTGGACAATGGTCTCCACTCTGGCTCTCTTCATCTCGATGTGCTCATCCCCAAACCAGCCGGGGTCAGTGGGGCTGGAGCTGGGCGCCTGGGCCCAGGGTGGAGAGGAGTCTCTACCCAGCTGTCTGGAGAATGAGCTGCTCTCGCCTTCCACGTCACATTCTGCCAGGTGGGAGCAGGCCTGGGACTGAGGAGAAAGCAAGATGGGGTTTCGCGCCATTGCTTGGCTCCCCAGGCACTTGCTCAGATCTCTGAGTAAGCCAAGGGTTTTGGGAGCCCGCCTTGCCTCCTCAGTGGGAGGCGCACATGGAATGAGCTGGAGGGACTGCCCCTCACTCTGAAGTGCAAATCAGTGCTCCTGGAGAAGGATGCAGACACGGGGGTTCCAGGGCTTACAGAACTCCTTGGCGGGTGCCTGAAATTAGACAGGAAGAGCATGCTTATCAAACTTGGAATGGTACTTATCAAACTTGAGTGCAAAGGCAGCCCTGAGATCTTGGCAAAATGCAGCTTTCAGTATTGTAAATGTGGAGAGGAGCAGAGTTTGCATTCTAACCAGCAGCGAGGTGATGGAGGTGAGAACCCCACTTTTTAAAATCATGTGGCTATTTATTTATTTATTTATTTAGGTACCGGGGATCAAACTTGGGACCTTGCGCAAGTCAAACCAAGATTTGCAGACCTGGGGTGCCTGAGGACAGCAGAACACTAGGCACTGAACACTGGGCACTGTTTAAAATAGCAAAGCCATTCCACTCCAGCTTGCCTGGATCATTAAGGATACCTTACCTGTTTTCTTTTTTGTGTGTGTTTTGTTGTTGTTCTTACTATTTTGAGATAGGGTCTTGCTATATAGTCCTGGCTGGTCTTGAACTCACAGTCCTCCTGCCTTGGCCTCCTAAGTGCTAGGATTGCAGGCGTGCACCACCATACCTAGCTGGCACATTACCTGCTAAGTAATGATCCTTTTTTTAATCATCATAAAGAGACCACATATTTAAAAAATTGACAACTCAGAGTCTATGTACATTACTGCACAAGTTATGAGTTGATAAAAAATATTAATGACAACAAACTCATAAGCATTTATATAAAACTACTGCTCTAGGTTTGGGAACATTTTGTACCAGATACCTTAGTAAACAAGACAAACATAAGGGAAACACTTTAAAAGAAAAATTGATGATAAAAAAATATTATGTTAAAATATTGTATAAAATCTTTAGCAACTGGATTTAGGAAGTGTATAAATACTGGGATTTTTTTTTTTAATTTTTGAGACAGGATCTCACTGTGCATTTCAGGCTGCCCTTGAACTCACTATGCAGCCCAGGCTGGTCTTGAATCCTGTCTCAGTCTCCAGAGCGCTGGGATAAAAGTGTGAGTCACCATGCCCAACATGGGAATTTTAAGAAAAGAGCCCCAAGTTCTACTTCACAATTACTACTATACTCCAAAAGAGTCATTCTTGGCTTCTATTATATCTTTTCTGTTACTATAAAACATTGCTTCAAAATTCTAAAGGAATATGATGGCAATTCATATAAAAGAATTTTGAAGTAAGATTTGTCTATTAGGAATAAAACTAATGAAATTAATATGCTCTTCATCAAATTACAAAGAAATTATCAAAATATTGATCAGATAAGAAGCTAGACCACCATTTACCTTCAGCGACTGCCTTGGCACAGCATGTGTCACCAGCATGATGGGAGATGTGAGTACAGTGCCGCTCACCTCACCAGAGCCTGCAGCATGGCTTCCGCAGAGTTGTGTTTCCTCATATAGAGAATTGAAGCTGGTAGATGAACTACCTGCCTTTTGTTTTGTTTTGTTTTTGTTTTTTTGAGACAGCGGCTCACTGTGTATCTCAGGTTGGCCTTGAACTCACTATGTAGCCCAGGCTGACGTTGAACTCACAGCGATCCTCCTGCCTCAGCTTCCCAAGTGCTGGGATTATAGGTGTGAGCCACCACTCCGGTCCTAAATGGCTTTTAAAAGACAGCACCTTTGAGGAGACATGTAGCACAGCAAAAGAAATGGGAGATGGAGGGTTTCTCCCCTAATACCATTACTCAGAACTGTTCTGCACTGTAGTTCAAGGAAATCTTTGCCAACACTCTTGAGGGTTATACAAATGAGGCATCTGACAATGAAATTTTGGGGAAAAAATGTAAAGAGGCCATGCTAAACCAGGCGTAATAGCACACATCTGTAGTCCCAGTAATTTGGGAGGGTGAGGCAAAAAGATTGCAAATTCAGGGCCAGTTTAGACAATTTAGACCTGTTTCAAAACAAACAAACAAGGCCATGCCAAGTTTAAGTAGGTAAAGAACAATGTACCATCATGTTCCTGTCAATAGGCAGGACTTCCTGGCTCTGGACTTCAAGAGCTAGCGGTCTAGTTGAGAAAATGCCAAGGGACATTCAAGCCATCCAACAGAGATCTGGTGAATGCACATCTTTTGGCCCCTAGGAAAGCAACCTTCATGAAACTGATTCTAACAGAAAGAATGCAAGAGAGGTAAGTGCAAGGTGGGTTTTTGTGTTTGTTAGGTTTTCATTTTTTGCTTTATAAAACAATGATCCAGAGAGGGCAATGGCTTCTCGTTTTCTGTCCCCTATCATTTTTTCTGGAATCTAACACACTGGCTTCATTTTCAAACCACATCACTTTATTTTTCCCCACAAGAAGGTCACACATTATAAACCTTAAGAGCATGAGAGTTACATGATTTCTTCAGCAAGCTAAGAGAATTCTGTGAGATTTCCTGGAGTTTACAGCCACTGGAGTCCTGAGGTTTCGAATATTAAAGTTTTCTCCACAGCCACAAGTTCCTTTGATGTTTGGGTTATAAAAGACAGGCTCGTACAGGTACAAGTTCCCTATGATAAGTGCTGCCTTAATGTATGTCTGAAATGTACCAATAAATGTTTTGCTTCAAAAAAATAAAAGGTAAGCTTCTTGGATAATTTGTCTTCAACATAGTGCATTTCTGTTCTTAAAAGTGTTAGCTGTGTTTTCTTTTGGAGGAGCACTCTGACTCCATCTCAATGCCTTCTTCATCAGAATCTCCTTTTGTCTTTATATATTCCAGGGTGTAGGAAAGGCCAGAACAGCCCTTAGTTTGTACACTGACCTTCAGACTTACGTGCTCAGGCTCATAGAAGCCTATCTTATTTTACTTACTGTCTTATTTTGTTTCCTGCAGAAGACATCAAGGTGAGGGAGGCTCGGTGGGCTGAGGCTTCCTCTTACTCACTGAATAGTGGCCCAGACTAACAAAGGTGACATCCTCACAGTCCCCCAACTCCTCAAGTTGTACCTCAGACTTCTCAGCGTCTCTCCACGGACATGGCAGGTGTGTTCTAATGAGGGTCCTTAAACTGGCAGAATTGATACTTTAACCATGGCGGATGGAACGATGATATAAACTACAAGTTTTGTACCTCCCCGAAAGAAGAGGGGCTATTCCGAGTGCGAGGAACATTTCCTGCTCAAACTTGACATTTTCAAACCTAAAGTCTACAGCTGCCCCTTCACACTGCTTTACCTCTCACACCATTCCTTTCTTCTTCAAGCCAGAAACTGAGATCCTCTTAGGCTGCAGCCCTTCTCCCATTGACTTGGTGATCTCGGCAGACCAAATTAAGGCAAAAACAGCTCTGAAATATATTCTGCCATGCTGTTCCCATTACTACTGTCCTGGTTCAGGGACTCATAAGTTTTCACCTCGTTAATTGCAGTACCTCGTGACTGCTCCCCCATCCTCTATAGCCTTCCCTCATTTTGGTCTTTCTTCTAAATTCACTCCCTGATTCAAGAAGCCTGAATTGAGCGCTGACAACATACATAACGTTCTGCTGGTGTAAAGCTAATATTCCTGCAGAGGAGAATAGTAAAATGTAAAAGCATAATAGAGATAAATAATAGAGAGCTATTGCATAGGGTTTCGTTGGCTATTGTAAAGTTGTCCTGGACTCGGGTAAATGAGGGCTTATTAGGTGGTTATAAGTGATGCGCTCTGATTTAGATTTAAAAGCATCCTTCTCTACTGGGTGGGGGAGGGGAGGACGAAACGTTATTTCGGAAGCTGTTGTCTTAAGGTAGGTGAGACCCAGTGATGTCCTGGACCAAGACTAGCAATGGAAGGGAGGAGTCATGGCAGACCCTGGGTATACGTTGAAGAAGCAGCCAGTGGGATTTGCTAGCAGGTTAAATGAGGAACGCAAGAGGAGCATCGCTGATGATTGCAGCTTTTGACTTGAGCAACTGGAAGGGTGGCATTTGGGGAACAGAGATGGAAAGATCTGCAGGACAGGCTTTGGGGGTGAAAGGAGACAGAGCACAGCCAAGGCTGCAGCGACAAGAACAGCCGGAGGAGGAATCCCTCAAGGGAACTGGGAAGGACCCTGCAATGAGCGAGGAAGAAATCCGGGGCGGGATGTGAGTCCCAGGAGCCAAAGGAAGAAAAGCTCGCTGAGAGGAGGGAGAGCTGTGAAGGGACTGGGTGAGGGATGTGGCGTCATTAAGGGTCTCGATCAGCACCTTTGGTGGTGTGAAGGGAAAAGAAGTCCGACTGGAGGGCACTGAAGGGAGAGGGCCAGGAAAAAAGGGACATACGAATATGTCAATTCTTGCAAAGGATTTTGTATACAGGAGAGAAATGGGACAGTGGCTGAAGGGGCAAGGGAGTCGATAGGGGATTTTTCAAGATAAGACAAATAACGGCAGCATACTTCTGCTGCCATCAGAAGATAGAAGTTGAAGCCAGGTGTGATGGCTCAGGACTGTAATCTCAGTATTCTGGGAGGCCAAGGTAGGAGGAAGTTAGAGTCCAGCCTGGGTAATTTAGTGACTTAGACCGTGTCTCAAAAAATAAATAAAATAAAATAAAAGGGCTGGAGGTGTAGCTCAGTGCAAATTCCCGGTATTACCAAACACAACAAACTTCAAAATGTGTCAAGGCGGACAAGAACTGATCATTCTCTGGAGCTCCGTCCTTGTACAGGAAGGACAGAGGAGACCTAGCGCACGCTTTGATGGAGGGCTGGGGTAGGACGTTGAGCTCCTCCCGTGGGCGTGGGAGGAGGTGGAGGGGCAGGAGCTGGAGGAGATTCCCCTTTGTTGTTTCAGTTTTCTCAGTGACATTGGCAGCGAAGCTAAGTTTTGAAAAAGTGGTTCTTCTTTGCCCCGTGGAATCAGTCTCTGTCAGCTGTCCACAGACCACA